TCCAGCCCTGGTTCCACTGCCTGCCCTCCCCTATTTCTGCAGGACAGTCCCACTGCCTCCAACCCTGCTTCCGCCGCCTGCTCGCCCCCTCCCCCCACCATCTCCGTGGGACATCCCCGTTGCCTCCAACCCTGCTTCTGCCAGCTGCCTGCCCGGATCTCCACGGGACAGCGCCGCTGCCTCCAACCCTGCTTCTGCTGGTTGCCTGCCTGGATCTCCACGGGACTGCACCACTGCCTCCAACCCTGCTTCCACTGGTCGCCCACCCACCTGCCCTGATCTTCGTGGGACAGCCCCGCTGCCTCCAACCCTTCTTCCTGGTGGTCAGTTCTCCCTTCCCCCCGTTGCCACCTCCTCCCAGCCCGCCCCACTCTGCTCCCCTACCGGCAGCCATGCTGAGGCCCAGCATTTTTTTCCCGTGGCCCGGTTCTGGGCCATGGCCCATAGAAACGCTGAGCTATACTGTCAAGTACAGAGGCAGAGTTCTACATTTCAGGTTGCAGTGCATAGAACACTGAAGCACATTAGCATAAACTACAGAAACTAATAGTTGCCAGTAGAGAAAACGTGCCATTTTAATAGTTCATTCATACTGTGAGGGGGAGGGGGGAGGAAGGAGGAGGGGAGTATATTCTTAAAGAATACACTCTTGCAACATGCCAAGCTGCATGAGATCTCATTCTAAATGATATATTAATTTTGTGTATGTTGGGTAATGGCATCTAATTATTACAAATACTAACCATCTATTGGGGAGGAATAATTTAAATAATTGCTCTTTTTGGGCAAATCATGATACCATGCATCATTTATGCAATTTATTCTGTATATAATTTTTTTCTAAAAATTACGTTTCTGACTCAGTTTGGCATTTTCAGATTACTCAGACATGAACAAGAATGTCTTGTCTCAGAGGGGCAGCCATGTTAGTCTGTAATTGAAAAAAACGTAAACAATGAATGGTCCTGCATTCATTGTTTAAGAATTTCTTGGTTATGCTTCTTGGTCTGGATGACTGAAACTGTAATTTGAATGAATAACGTGCAACCGCATACAATATAAAGAAGAGTTATTATAAAGCCTTACAGTTGTGAGAGCTCCTTCAAATCTTTAAATAGATACGGTGGAAGTGATTCTATCTTGTTGCTAGCCAAGTCTCTGTGGAAACAATCCCAGATAAAATATAGTTAGTTCTTAGTAGTAGTTTCTTTTCATTATGTCAGAAAGCATTCATAATGTAAAGAGATCCATTATTTTGACTCCCTTTGGCAACTACATTTATAGGTTAAATAGATGAATCAGAAACTTAGATAATAAACAAATGATGTTAAAACAAAAGGTGAGACTTAGAAACCTCAGACTCTACTTTGCCTGACTATGTGAGACCATTTAATAATTACAGGGCTTATTACTTTGCTTTTGCATTTATTTTAATGGTCATTTTCTCTTCTTTAGTGCAGCTGCTTCTCAGTAGTTCCCCACTTCCTTCCCAGTCAGTTCATTTATGATCTTGGACAAAAATCAAAGGATTTTTTCATTATGATAACTAAATAATCGAACTCCTGAGTTAGTAGGATAAGACCATTTCAATTATATTTACAGTGAATGATTAGTCAGTTTCTATTATGGTAGTTAATTGTTTTGGAACAAAACTCCTATGCACTATGCAATTGAAGTGGATTTTAAAAAAAAGTCCCATGGGTGCAGTATGTTATATCTAATTATTAATAACAGTATTTTAGCACTTAATATAGCTATTAGCAAAGATTAAGAACATAAGAACGGCCGTACTGGGTCAGACCAAAGGTCCATCTAGCCCAGTAGCCTGTCTGTCGACAGTGGCCAGCACCAGGTGCCCCAGAGGGGGTGGACCGAAGACAATGATCAAGCGATTTGTCTCCTGCCATCCTTCTCCAGCATCTGACAAACAGAGGCCAAGGACACCATTTCTATCCCCTGGATAATAGCCTTTTATGGACCTAACCTCCATGAAATTATCTAGCTTCTCTTTAAACTCTGTTATAGTCCTAGCCTTCACACCCTCTTCTGGCAAGGAGTTCCACAGGTTGACTACACACTGTGTGAAGAAGAACTTTCTTTTATTAGTTTTAAACCTGCTACCCATTAATTTCATTTGGTGTCCTCTAGTTCTTCTATTATGGGAACTAATAAATAAGGGTATGTGTACACTACCACCCTAGTTCGAACTAGGGTGGTAATGTAGTCAACCGGAGTTGCAAATGAAGCCCGGGATTTGAATTTCCCGGGCTTCATTTGCATCTTGCCGGGCGCCGCCATTTTTAAATATCCGCTAGTTCGGACTCCGTGCCGCGCGGCTACACGCGGCACGAACTAGATAGTTCGGACTAGGCT